CCACTGCATCCACTCCAGTGACTTGGCTTCGTTGGGCAAGGCTTGTCACTGGAGCCCTTGCCCCCCTGCACTGCTGGAATTCCCGTGGTATTTTGGGTTGCCCACACACACACACACACACATATACACGCGTGCGAATAAATGCGTGCTTGTTCTACGGACATTCTGGGCATGTTGCAATTGACTGAATCTCCGGATTCGGAGGCTCATTCAGCACGGAGGAGTGGATGGAGGTGACTGGCGCGCCTTACCAAAACCCAAAACCCAAAACCCAAAACCCAAAACCCCCAAACCCTAAACCCGAAACCCTAAACCCCGAAGCCGCAACCCTCTGCCCGAATCTCGGGTTGTTCAGGAACCCCGTGTATTTCTCAAAGCCACAAGCTCGAAGGGTCCAATGTATGCAAGTTGTGGAGTAGACCTACTTGGCACCCATTTTCGGCTGCTTGTTTGGTGGTCGGGTTTAGGAGCCGAAACAAGCCGAAGCGAGTTCATGTCCGTTTCCCTGCTTCCGATCTGTAGGATGGTTCTAACTAAAAGACCTTCCTACCTACCAGAAACCCTAAACCCCAAAATCGAGGACCTGTCTAGGTACCATATACCCTAAACCCCAAATCGAGGACCTTTCTACCTACCGTAAAGCCCGAAACCCCCAAATCGAGGACCTTTCTAGGTGCTTTTCTCTTCCCCAAGCGACTACACGATTCCTGAGAAAAGAAATCTAAGGATCCCTTACAGGACTTTGGGGAAGCCTTGTCGCAACCCCTTCATTGGGAACCCGTATCGTAACCTGTCAGGGTTTTCAACCCTGCAATCCCTTTTGATGTAGGGTTTAGGATTTACACATCCTTTGCCCATGATCCGGGGTTTTCCTGCCCCATGAGTCCCTCACCCCCCTAAACCCTAAACCCTAAACCCTAAACCTTAAACCCTAAGCTCTAAACCCAAACCCTAAAGCCTTAAACCGCCAAGGCCCTCGCCGACCTCACCTGGTCCAGCCAGAGGATGACCCTCCTGCAGCTGAGGAGGGCTCCACGGTGCATTCTTGGCTTTTATAGGGTTTAGGGTTTAGGGTTTAAGGGTTTAAGGGTTTAGGGTTTAGGGTTTATAGGCTTTAGCACATGTGCTAAGATAGTTTACCTTTAGTATACTATAGTATATGATCGTAAATTAAAGTATCTGACAGTATATTTATAGCCTGTTCTAGTAAATTATAGTCTGTTTATAGTTTATTATAGTATATTACTGTGTGTTGTAATATATTACAGTGTTTCATAGTATATTATAGTATATGGGTTCTTTAGGGTTACTATAGAAGCCTAAACAACTACCATTCATTCCTCAGGATTCTTGATTATAGCTACAGTATAAAGGAGCCCAAAACCCTATGCTAATTCATTCGGCCTGTACATGACTCTTTTGCTGTTTAGGGATGCTACAATAGGGGTATGCAAGGACGTGAGGTCTCATTATCGGTTTAGGGTTGTCGGACGTTAGGTTTGCAGCGTTTTCAATAAGGCTGTATAAGGTTGTATAGGACTTTTTATATCAGCGTTCGTTAATGTTTTTTACACTCTGTGCCGCCTTGTCACCCTCACAACCTTTTCTTGAGTCTCCGACCGTTTATCCTCAAAACCGAAACCTGCACCGATCACTGTTCAAGAAGGCATGGCGGGGCTTCGGATTTAGGCTGAAGCTGTCACTGCCCCGAAGCCCCATGTCAAGCTTGAAAAATGCGCTTTAGGGTTTCGGGTTTATGGTTTAGGATCTAGGCCCTGAGCCCTAAACCCGACACACTAAAGCCTCATCAAGCTCCTGAACCCCAGACCCTCTGGCCTTAATCCCGCAAACCCGCACGGATCCTAATCCCAAGCCTTGAACCCTAAACCCTAAACCCCAAGCCTTGAACCCAAACTCTAAACCCCAAGCCTTGAACCCTGAACCCCAAACTTTAGCCCTAAACCCCAAACCCTAAACCCCAAGCCTTGAACCTAAAGCCTCCTGCCAGCGGGGAACCCCGGTCCCTGAACATGAAACCCGGAGCCCTAAACCCTGTATCATGTAGTTTAAAGAACCCTAAGGAATATCATGGTAATTATTTAGGCTTCTATAGGTAACCCTAAACCCTAAACCCTGAACCCTAAACCCTAACCTCCCTAAACCCTAACCTCGGGAGCTCTGTAACCGAAGCCGCACAACCTGGAAGCCCGCCGAAGCCTTGCAAACTCCCTTCTGGCAGGCGCTGCAACTGTTCGAAGCAGAAAGAGCCCCTAGAGCTTTACCGAACCTGTTTACATGCCGAAGATAACAACCTATTCCAGTTTAGGAGTTCCTTATTCTAATTGTAGTATAGTATACTCCCCAAAACCGTATTCCAATTACAAAGGCCCCTACATTAAGACCTTAAAGCTCTAAACTTGACTTAAAGGATCATGGGACGTAGTAACGAACCTTATGATGAGGGTAACTACACTGAGAACAACTTCTAACCCCAATGAAGGTACTTATAACCACACTTACTAAGTCCCATGATCCTGAAAGTACTTCCCCCTCTAAACCCTAAACCCTAAACCCTAAACCCTAAACCCTAAACCCTAAACCCTAAACCCTAAACCCTAAATCCCCCCCCACCCACCCCCGGAAAGCCGATGTCTCCAGGAGCGCCCTCAGCGCTGAGTCCAACCTAAAGCCTGCCCTCAAGGCCCCGCACAGCGCAGAGGTTCTTCTGGTGTTTATGGTTTTTTGGATTGTTTAGGGTTGAGAGTTGGCTTTAGGGTTTAGGGTTTAGGGTTTAGGGGGTTTAAGTAGGGTTTTGTGCTTGGGGTTTGGGGGTCGGCTTTATAGGGTTCCTGTGGTGTTGCAAGGTTTTTTTGGAGGCCAACTGCAGGATTGAAAGGGTGTCCAAAAGGGGGTGATGCAATCTAGGACAAGGCCCCTCTAGCAGAGAACCCTTAGAGTAACCTTTATAGACCTCCTTCAAAAGGAACCCTAAACCCTAAACCCTAAACCCTAAACCCTAAACCCTACACCCCTAAACCCTAAACCCTAAACCCTAAACCCTAAACCCTAAACCCTAAACCCTTACAGGAACCCTATTCTGACTGTGCAGGCCCCTATGTCTAGGACAGATTCAGGTGGGTAGTTACCGTTATGGGAGCGTTGTAGAAGGTCTATATGGGTGGTTGTCAAAATGAGGGTCCCTTTTTGGGGTACCCTAAATATTAGGTGCCGTATTATACTAGGGACCCAAAAAGGGACCCTAATTTTGACAACCACCCATATACATTATAGAAGCCTTATGGAAGGCTAATATACCCTAAACTCCCCACCTGTGATTTCCTTTCATACAAGGATTTACGGATGCTTCTTCTAGGGGGTTCTTCTGGGCCCATCCGCTGCACGACTTCCTTTGTAAAACCGTCTGCAAACCCGACAGAAGCCTCACAGAAGCCCCAAACAAAGCCTGATAGAAGCCCTGAGAGAGACCCTAGGGTTGATGAGAATATAAATCCTGCATTCCCTATAACAAGGAATATACCCTACCTCCCATAGTTTAGGGGCCTATGCAGAGAAGCCCTTTGAAAAAAGATCCCCCAAACCCTAAACCCTAAACCCTAAAGCCAAAACCCCAAAACCCTAAACCCTAAACCCCCAAACCTGTGCAAGGCAACCCCCAGCCCGAAAGCCAGCGCGCCTTCCGCCAAGAGAGAGGCCAAGGTGTTGGAGCTCTTGGCCGATGAGGGCGGTGAGGACAAGGCCTGGGTTTAGGGCTTCGAGTTGAGGGTTTCGGGTCTTTGGGGATTTTAGGGTTTAGGGTTTAGGGTTTAGGGTTTGAGGGTTTAGGGTTTAGGGATCTTACAAAGTGCCCTGTTGTACCCTAGGTTCCCAACTCTTCAGATCCTTTAGGAGGGCTGGGCATGCCCCTAAACCCTAAACCCTGTGCAGGACACAGCGGAGAAGGAGTCAGAGGAGAGCTCGGGCTCGGGGGGAGTTTAGAAAGGCTGCGTGAGGTTGAGGGTCTAGGGTTTAGAGTTTAGGGTTTAGGGTTTAGGGTTGAGGGGTTTAGGGTTTACTATAGGGGCCTTAAATAGTTACCTCTACTACTTTGGGGGTTCCGTATTTTGTAACTAGAGTATAACGGGCCCCAAAACCCTATTCTAATTCTTCAGGCCCCTACATTAGGGGTTCTCATCAGGGCTGCATAAACGGTTTTACAGGGAGCAAAGGTTATTCAGGGCTTCAGGTTCGGGCTTCTGCTTAAGTTATCCGAGGACTTTGGAATCAGCGGTAATTGTGCTCACAGCGGTTCTAACCCCAAGCCCGTAAAGCCTAAGCCCTATAGGCCATAAACTTACTCATAGCCTGCTTGCTAAGTCGCCTGGTCCTGAAAGCAGGGTTGGTTCCGTTGAAGACAGACGTCGCGGTTCAAGGGTCAGTGCACCCCTATATCCCATAACATAGGGGCCATAGCAAGTAGTAATACTCTTCACCTAAACCCTAAACCCTAACCCACGGTTTGCTTATGTGCCTGAAACTACCGAAATCCTCTTGTTTAAGTGTTTGGGCCCCTGTCTCAAACCCTAGGCCGAGAGCTTGAAAGCCGCGTCCCCTGCAGGAGGCAGAAGAAGACGACGGCTTTACAAAAGAAGACGCTCGGCTCATGACAAGTTTTTGACGGAAGTGCAGCAATCGATGGGATGTAGGGTTTTGGGTTTTGGTGGTTTGTGGGTGTCGGTTTGCGGCCTATGTCCTGAGATGCTGCTTTGTTATGTGGGTAATGGTTCTTTATTACAAGTATGGTATAAACTACCCCAAAGCCTTATTTTGAACGTTTTGGCCCCTACGGTAGCTTGTGCCCAGAGATCTGAGATTAGTTGCGCCTGTGCAGCCACCGACGCTCAAGCACTGCAGCAGCTCTAGGTTGCCCTAGCGCTCATCCCTCTTGGCAGAATGGTCTCCTCCGTCTTGGCCGTGGTGCTCGTCGCCTCCTCCTTGGCATCTCTTGTGCAGCAGGCTTCTGCAGAATTTCTCCGAGGCGAGAATCAGAACAGGACGGGCGTGCAGGAGCTTTCCCTGCTCTCAGTGGCAGCTGGCTGCAGCGCCGCGGATGAAGCTGCGATGTCGAAGCTGGGCTCTGGAAATGCTGACGGAACCTTCCCCAAGTACCTGGCGGTATGTGGACAGCGGAACTACAACATCTTCTTCGGCTTCAATAGCCCCAACTACGTTGCCTGCATAGAGGGAGATACAGGCATCAGCAGCTCCTGCGCAGAGTGCTTCGTGAAATCTGCCAAGTACGGGGCAGACAACTGCAAGTGGAGCTGCTTGTTCGGCGCCTGGGCCGGGTAGGCTTGTAGAGCTTATATAGGCTGCGGGGCGGTTTTGCAAGGATGCTAGAGCCTCAAGAAGCGGGTACCGAAGTGACGGATGCTCTTGAGGTGGGTTTTGCACAGCAAGCCTCTATGTCCCGAAGCCTTAGCCCTCAATCTAAGGCTCTTGGTGCGGCTCCAGCTGCCTCGACTGTGTGGCGGCCGCAACCAAGGAAACCGAAACTTGTGCCGGAGTGGCCGTGCCCTCTGCCGCTACCTGCAGGTGAGGCAGAGACATCTTTTGAGTGAATTTTGCAGGTCATGAGATGCTCTTGATCATTGGGTGCCCATGTACAGGATCGCACTCTTCGTATTCCAACCAATGTGGCAAACGACCACTCCGACAGGCTTGCAATGGCAACCTCCGGATTCGTACAGCCCGGAGACATCAAACAAGCTTGAAAGCGTCCAGCGCCGTCTTTGCCAGACGTGTTCGAGTGATGCGGTCGAAGTTGCTTGAAGGATCATGTGTACTCAGAAACCATGGTCAAGAGTTGTAACTGAAACGCGTGTGGAGCACGCGGTTTCATCTCAGGAGTGGATGGAGTTCTTCAAGGAAGACGGGGACATCAGCGAAGAGGAGTGACATGGCGAGGGGGGTTGGGTTTCAAAATAATGCTGCGATGTTCTACTATAGGGGCCTACATAATTGCCTATAGTATTTTGGGGTTCCTTATGATAGATATACTATACAGGACCCCAGAACCCTATTCTAATTATTAAGGCCCCTATATTACGCTTGGCAGTTGTAGAATGCACCAATATTGGAAAGCCAGCAGTCGCCCAAACCATCAAACGTAAAACCGTCAGACCAAAAAGCTTGAAATCCGCGGTAGCCCTGGTAGAGCCATTGTGGTGACCTTGGCTATAACCCTGCAATCAGCCACTATACCCTAAACCCTAAACCTTTAGACCCTAAACCCTCAACCCTAAACCCCTAAACCCCTGAACCCCTCAACCCCGAAACCCTAAACCCTCAACCCAACAAACCCTAAAACCTAAACCCTGAACCCTCATCTGAACCTTAAAAGGAGCTGAAGGTCCTCGATGGGCTCCTGGTGAAGATGGATGTCTCTGGTCAGCGCGCTGAGGTTTAGCTGTGCTCAGGTTGTTTTGGGTTTAGGGTTTAGGGTTTACGGTGTGGGGTTTAGGGTTTAGCGTGTAGGGTTTAGGGTTTAGGGTTTAGGGTGGTTCAAGGTGTTGTGTACACTTTGCGGGGGGTTTGGGTTAGGGTTTAGGGGCTTAGGGTTAAGGCTATAGGGACCCAAATTGGGTACTGTAACCCTAAAGAGGGCAATGATAGCACACTTATCGGCTGCATACTAAAAACAACTTACCAGACCGTGGAACGACTCTGAGTCGCAGTTAGTTTCCAAGCCGCCAGCACTCTCTGCTCGCCGTTGGAATGGTATTCTGTACCCAGAGCCCTAAACCCTAAACTCCAAACCCTAAACCCTAAACCCCATTGTGCTTGAGAACTTTAAAGTATACACAGTGCCCCGTTGAGGATCGTTAGTCTGCACCTTGGTCTCTCCCGGTGCAGTTAGCTCATCCACGGATCGGCGCACATCTCCAACAATCGCAACATCCCAGAAACAGTTGCATCTAACCCAAACCGACAAGTTTGAACACTACACTTACCCACGAGCCCTACATCCTAAACCGCTACACCCCGAAACCCGAAACCCCGAACCCCCATAACACCTCAAGAGCCCGGTCCAGCAGCAGTTGCAGAACCCTAAAGAAGCCCAAACAAGGGTTTAGGGTTTAGGGTTTAGGCCTTAGTTCTAGGACATTTTCAGGTGGGTAGTTACCGTTAAAGGAGCCTTATAGAAGGTTTATATACCTTATAGAAGCCTTATAGAAAAGCAGCCGCGGGTTGGAGAGAGCCTAACCCGAGCCCCGAAGTGCCCTGCTGAGGTGACGGCCGGGTCTCTTCCGATGAGATCAAGGCTTTTGGGGTCTAGGGTTTAGGGTTTAGCGTTTAGTGTTTAGGGTTTAGTGTTTAGGGTTTCGGGTTTAGGGTTTAGGGTTTAGTGTTTAGGGTTTAGAGTTTAGGGTTTAGGGTTTAGGGTTTAGGGTTTAGGGTTGAGGATGAAGGGCTTTGGGTTGAGGATTAAGGGGATTCAGGGTCATTGGGGGTTGAGGACTAAGGGCTTTGGGTTGAGGATTGAGGGCATTTAGGGTCATTTGGGGTTGAGGATTAGGGGTCATTAGGGGTTGAGGATTAAGAGCATTGGGTTGAGGATTAAGGGCATTTAGGGTCATTTGGGGTTGAGGATTAAGAGCTTAGGGGTTTAGGATTCAGGGCTTAAGGGTTGAGGAACTGGGGTTTGGGATTAAGAGTTTAGGGTTTAGGATTAAGGGTTCAAGGGTTGGGGTTGTACGGTTTACGATGAAGGGTTTTGGGTTTAGGATTAAGGGGAAAGGGTGAGGGGTGTAGGGTCTAGGATGAAGAGCTTAGGATTTAGGGCAGGTGCTCCTTAGACAGGCTTTGTAGGGTTCTATGAGTTTGTAGCTTGAGTAAGGGTTCCAATAGGGCTCTACGCGACTTACGCTTGAAAACTAACCCTGAAGCCTGAACCTTGAAGTTTAAACCCGCAAGTCGTAAACCGTCTTATTGTTAAACCCTGACATGCCTCTAACAGCTTCGCTGCTCGCAAACCGGGGAGGCGGCGCTGACGCGCAAGGATTTGGAAATGCCAGAGGCGGACAGTTTGGGTTTAGGGTTTCGGGTTTCAGGGTTAGGGTTTTAGGGGTTTAGGGTTTTAGGGCTTAGGGTTTCGGGTTCAGGGTTTTGGGTTTGGGGTTAGGGAGC